ATGCAGCTGTCAGCTTGACACCGAGTCCTACATGAAGGAATCATCAATAAGCCTTTACTGAAATCGTGTTGAGAACACAAATCAAGATCTATTTCTGGAAAAGAGCAAAGAAGAATGAAGCTAGAGATGAAGCTCCCAACAGAGATGCTGAGCTGTCCTCTTAGGAGGTGCAGGCTCCCTGATAACTATGCGTATGTTGGGCAGAGCCCTTCTCATGTCTGGCTGATCTTTCCAGAGCAATCATAAAGTAACAGAGCACCGAACTGTCTGTCTGTCAGAAGCTAGCTCAGTGTGCGATTCCGACCATCCAACTAGATCCAGCTCTGAGTTACGCAGAGTCAAAACCTGGCTGACCGTTAAAGACAGAGGTTTAAAAAAATATTTGTCTCTCCACACACCAAGTGGCAAAGCTACATGTTTGGGGTTAACATGGTGACCACAGAATCCACTCTTAAAGAAGGCTGGGGATGGACAGGCCAGAGCTAAGAGATCTGGAGAGAACAGATGACCTAGGAAAAGGAACTAGTAACTCTGTATAATAGAAATAACTGCAAGACGATGTCATGTCCAGAATTACACCTTCTCTGCATCTTTCTGAAAGAACTCACTTCCTTGATTTAGCTAAATGTAGCACTGAAACTTATGCCTCCGTGTTACCCTTGCTTTATGGGACTTAAAAGTATTAAAAACAATTCAGAACATATTTAACAACAACAATATTTTCCATTAGCCTCTGAGCGACACTGTCCCTTCCTGTGAACATTTTTGTTTTCTAGGGCTTTCTACTTTCCTTTAAAGTTTTTCCCTCCTAAGACTTCAACCTTCAACCAAGGTAATCATTCCTCTATGAACTCAATTCAAAAGATAAGAGAACAAAGTGTTTATCATAGGTCTAATTTCCAATTCCATTTTGCTCCAGCCTACTTTTTTTTTCAGTCACCGTTCTACCTGGAGGTTTCAGAGCTTTCACGTTGAGAACAAGGTCGAAGTCCACCTCACCTTTGATGCTCGGAAAGAGAAGGCTGTGGACTTGGTGTCTGATTTTCCCCGGTCTTGCAGTATAAGGCCTTGGTCCTCTGTCAAGGCCAGGTAGAGGCCTGTGGTGAGATGCCGAAGTCGGAAAGCCTGGCCCCATCTGATGTTACTGCCACTCCAACTGGGCAGATGAAACAGACAAGAAATTGCATTTACACAAAAATAAGTCTTTTTCAATATTTACCCTGTGCTTTTTCACACAGGCCTTCTGGGGTTCATGCCCTGACTCCTGGCTTGCTCTAGGATTGCATGCCTGCCTACAACTCAGCATGGTGTTCTCTAATGAACTCTCGTAAGATCACCAACAAGGAACATGCTCCTGGGGGCAGGTCAGTGGTTTAATGTAACTGGAAGTCCCAAGCTTCCAATTTTTCCTTCACTCCACTGAAGTGTCTTGATGCCAAAACCACAAAAAAAGGAAGGAAAAAAAAAAAGGGAAGCTTGCCCTTTTAGAGGAACTTATTTCTGGGAAAGTAAAGCATTTCCAAATGTGCCATCTCAAGTCAAGCATTTTACTACCACCACTAATTTGAAAAGAGATACACACCCCTATGTTCACTGCATCATTATTTACAATAGCCAAGATATGGAAGTAACCTAACTGTCCATCAATAAAGAAAATGTGTCGTATACACATATACAATGGAACACTATTCAGCCATAAAAAAGAATGAAATTGTGCCATTTGCGACAACATGGATGGACCTTGAGGGTATTATCCTAAGTGAAATAAATCAGACTGAGTAAGACCAATACCATATGATTTCACTCATATGTGGAATCTGAAAAACAAAACAAATGAGTAAACGAAGAAAACAACATAAATTTCATAGATACAGAGACTGGCAGTTGTGAGAGGAGGCAGGTTGGGGAGGTGGGAGAACTGAGTAAAGGGGATTAAGAGGTACAAAGTTCCATGGTCCTACATCAAAAGGTTGGCATTCAACAAAAGTCATGTTAAGTGTTAGGGTAGGAATTATTCACAGAATAATCTGCATCCAATTTATCCTTTCAGTTAGAACAAAAGGTTTCAGGAATACACGTATCAGCTTTTAAAATGACCCTCCTCTTGATCTAATTCTTTGGAGCCCCAAAGAATCCAAATAACATTGATAAAAGGCTTAAATTCCTCATATTTAAGACTCTGGGGAAATAAACAAAGAACCATAACTGGAAATATATATATATATATATATATATATATATATATATATATATATA